AAGTATACTTAAGGATCACATATGTAAACTAAAAAAAATATTTACAGTTTAAACGTTAAGATTCTTTGCAATAGTGAAAGGCTTACTAATAAGAGTATGTAAGTTTCAGAAGATGTGAATTATAAAAGTTTAATTTATAATAAACATATGGAAGTTATGTATAGTCAATATATAATTGGAAACCTTTACAGGAATACAAAGTAATGCTCACTCTATACAACTGTTATTGCCATTTTTCTCTCTTAAATGTTCTCCTTATCATTCCATACTTTTAAAAATTTTTCTTTTTTATATTAAATACAGTTTATTCACTTTGTATCCCAGCTGTTGCCCCTTCCCTCATTCCCTCCCAATCCCACCTTCCCTCCCTCATCTCTTCCCATGCCTCTCTCCAAGTCCACTGATAGAGGAGGTCCTGCTCCCCTTCCCTCTCACCCTAGACTATCAGGTCTCATCAGAACTGGCTGCAGTGTCCTCCTCTGTGGCCTGGTAAGGCTGCTCCCCCCCAGAGGGAGGTGATCAAAGAGCCTGCCGCTGAGTCCATGTCAGAGACAGTCCCCTTACTAGGGAAACCCACTTGGATACTGAGTTGCCATGGGCTACATCTGTGCAGAAATTCTAGGTTATATCTATGAATGCTCCTTGGTTGGAGTATCAGTATCAAAAAGGACACCTGTGCATTGTTTTTTTTTTTGTTTGTTTTTGTTTTTTTGTTCTGTTGCTCTCCTTGTGGAGCTCCTGTCCCTTCCAGGTCTTTCTATCTATCTCCATCTTCTTTTATAAGATTCCCTGCACTCTTCCCAAAGTTTGGTTATGAGTTTCAACATCTGCTTTGTTACACTGCTGGGTAGAGTTTTTCAGAGGCCCTCTGTGGTAGGCTCCTGTCCTGTTTCCTGTTTTCTCCTTCTTTCAATATCCACCCCATTTCTCTCTCTGAGTGAGGATTGACCATCTTACCCAGAGTCCTCCTTCTTGCTTAGTTTCTTTACGTGTACAGATTTCAGTATGTTTATCCTATATTATAGGTCTAGTTTTCATTTATAAGTGCTTCTGGGATGCCTCACTCAGGATGATATTTTCTAGATCCCACCATTTGCCTGCAAATTTTATGATTTACTTGTTTTTAATTGCTGAGTAGTATTCCATTGTATAATTTCCTCTATTGAGGGACATCTAGGTTGTTTCCAGGTTCTGGCTATTACAAATAAAGCTGCTATGAACATGGTTGAGCAAATGTCCCTGTTGTGTACTTGAGCATATTTTGATTTTTAAAATTAAATTATTATTTTTATATTAATTACAGCTTATTCACTTTGTATCCCAGCTGTAGCCCCTTCCCTCATTCCCTCCCAATCACACCCTTCCTCCTTCATCTCCTCACATTCCCCTCTCTAAGACAACTGATAGGGGAGGTCCTCCTCCCCTTCCCTCTGACCCTAGCTTATAAGGTCTCATCAGGACTGGCTGCAATGTCATCCTCTGTGGCCTGGCAAGGCTGCTGCCCCCTCAGGGGGATGGTGGTCGAAGAGCCAGCCACTGAGTTCATGTCCGAGATAGACCTTGTTCCCATTACTAGAGAAACCCACTTGGATACTGAGTTGCAATGGGCTACATCTGAGCAGGGGTTCTAGGTTATATCCATGAATGGGCCCTAGTTGGAGTATCAGTCCCAGAAAAGACCCCTGTGTATAAATATTTTGGTTCTGTTGCTCTCCTTGTGGAGCTCCTGTCCTTTCCAGGTCCCACATCTCTCCCTTCTTTCATAGAATTCCCTGAACTCTGCCCAAAGTTTGGTTATGAGTCTCAGTATCTGCTTTGATACAATTCTGGGTAGAGTCTTTCAGAGTCCCTCTGTGGTAGGCTCCTGTCCTGTTTTCTGTTTTTTCCTTCTTCCAATGTCCACCCTGTTTGTCTTTTTGAGTTAGGATTTGATCATCTTACCTAGCGTCCTCCTTGCTTAGGTGTACAGATTTTAGTATGTTTATCCTATATTACAGATCTAGTATCCACTTATAAGTCAGTATATACCATGTGTCTTTCTGCTTCTGGTATACCTCATTCAGGATGATCTTTTCTAGATCACACCATTTACTTGCCAATTTCATGATTTCCTTGTTTTTATTTTTTTGTTTTTATTAATTACAGTTTATTCACTTTGTATCCCCTCTGTACCTCCCTCCATCCTCCCCTCCCAATCCCACCGTTTCTCTTCCCCACCTGTGTCGCTCTCCCAGTCCACTGAAAAGGGAGGTCCTCCTCCCCTTCACTCTGATCCTAGTCTATCAGGTCTCAGCAGGAGTGGCTGCATTGCTTCTTCTGTGGCCTGGTAAGGCTGCTCCCCCCTTCAGGGTGAGGTGATCAAACAGCAGGTGAATCAGTTCATGTCAGAAACAATCCCTGTCCCCATTACTGTGGAGGCCACTTGGATACTGAACTGCTATAGGCTACCTCTGTGAAGGGGTTCCAGGCCATCTCCATGAGTGGTCCTTGGCTGGAGTATCAGTTTCAGAAAGGATCCCTGTGTCCGGACTTTTAGGATCTGCCTCTGTACTTGTGGAGCTCCTGTCCTCTCCAGGTCTTACTATCTCCCACTTCTTTCATAAGACTCCCTGTACTCTGCCCAAAGTTTGGCTGAGTCTCAACATCTGCCTTGATATCCTGCAGGGTGAGTCTTTCAGAGGTCCTCTGTGGTAGGCTCCTGACCTGTTCTCTGTTTTCTCCTTCCTCCCATGTCCATCCTCTTTGCCTTTCCGAATGAGGATTGAGCATCTTAGCCAGAATCCTCCTTCCTGATTAGCTTCCTTGGGTGTACAGATTTTAGTATGTTTACCCTATAGACATACCCTGTGTGTCTTTCTGCTTTTGGGATACCTCACTCAGGATGATCTTTTCCAGTTCCCACCATTTACCTGCAAATTTCATGATTTCCTTATTTTTTTTTTTTTAATCACTGAGCAATATTCCATTGTGTAGATGTACCACAATTTCTGTATCCATTCCTCAACTGAGGGGCTTCTGGCTATTACAAATAAAGCTGCTACAAACATGGTTGAGCAAATGTCCTTGTTGTATACTTGAGTGTCTTTTGGATATATGCCTAGCAGTGGTATAGCTGGATCTTGAGGAAGCGCTATTCCTAATTGTTTAAAAAAGTGCCAGATTGATTTCAAAGTGGTTGTATAAATATACATTCTCATCAGCAGTGGAGGAGGGTTCCCCTTTCTCTACATCATCTCTAGCATGTATTGTCACTTGAGTTTTTGATCTTAGCCATTTTGATGGTGTAAGCTGAAATCTCAGGGTCATTTTTGTTTTCATTTCCCTGATGATTAAGAACATTGAGCATTTCTTTAAGTCTTACTCTGGAATTTGGTATTCCTCAAGTGAGAATTCTCTGTTTAGCTCTCTACCACACTTTTTAATTGGATTACTTGATTTGTTGCTGTTTAACTTCTTGAGTTCTTTATATATTCTGGATATTAACCGTCTGTCAGATATAAGGTTAATGAAGATCCTTTCCCAGTCTGTAGGCTGTAATTTTGTTCTGATGACAGTGTCCTTTGCTTTACAGAAGCTTTTCAGTTTCATGAGGTCCCATTTATTGATTGTTGCTCTTCAAGCCTGTGCTGCTGGTGTTCTTTTCAGGAAGTTGTCTCATATGCCAATGAGTTATAGGCTCTTCCACACTTTTTCTTCTAAGCGGTTTAGTGTGTCTGGTTTTATGTTGAGGTCTTTGATCCACTTACACTTTAATTTTGTGTGGGGTGATAAATATGGATCTATTTGCATTTTTCTACATGTAGACCTCCAGTTAGACCAGCACCATTTGTTGAAGATGCTGTCTTTTTTCCACTGAATGTTTTTTGGCATCTTTGTCAAAAATAAAGTGTCCACAGGTGTGTGGGTTTATTTCTGGGTCTTCTATTCAATTCCATTGATCCACCAGTCTGTTTCTATGCCAATACCATGCAGTTTTCTTCACTATTGCTCTGTAGTACAGCTTGAGATCAAGGATGGAGATACCTCCAGATGATCTGTTGTTGTACAAGATCATTTTGGCAGTTCTGTTTTTTTTTTTTTTTATTTTTCATATGAATTTGAGAATTTTTCTTTCAAGTTCTGTAAAGAATTGAGTTGGTATTTTGATGGGAATTGCATTGAATTTTAGATTGCTTTTGGCACGATGGCCATTTTCACCTTGTTAATCCTACTGATTCATGAGAATGGGAGATCTTTCCATCTTCTGACATCTTCTTTAATTTCTTTCTTCAGAGACTTGAAATTTTTTTCCCAACAGGTCTATCATTTGCTTAATTAGAATGACACCATATTAATAGTGGCTATTTTGAAGGGTGTTGTTTCTCTGATTCTTTCTTGGCCCTTTTGTCTTTGGTATACAGCAAGGCTTCTGATTTTTTTTTTTTTGAGTTAATTTCACAATCAGCCACTTTGCTGAAGGTGTTTAGCAGCTGAAGGTGTTCTCTGGTTGAATTATGAGGGTTGCTCATGTATACTATCATATCATCTGAAAATAGTGAAAATTTGACTTCCTTCTTTCAGATTTGGATCTCCTTGATCTCCTTTAGTTGTCCTATTGCTCTAGCTAGGAATTCAAGTACTATGTTGATAGGATATGGAGAGAGTGGGCAGCCTTGCCTTGTCTATGATTTCAGTGGGATTGATGTAAATTTCTCTCTGTTTAGTTTGATATTTGCTATAGGCTTGCTGTTTATCATTCCATTCTTATCATGGTCTGGAAACAGCCATGACTTTTGCATATAACCACACTAACACTGTAATGCTGAGCTACCATATTGAATTCTTAGAGACTATCTGTCGCTATATAATACATGATATTAATGTATATAATACTTTATCAGTAACTAAGATAAGAAAAATTTTATTTCTCAAATATTCAAAATGATCTTTATGCTAAGTTATATTTAGGTTTATATAAAACTCAAATTATAATCATGTTTACTAAACTTTAGATTAAATTACTAATGACTACTTAAATGTACTTTTGATTTATAATTTTTGTCTAACCAACTAATATACTTATCTCTTATTCTTAATCCTAAATGTAAATTATATGGTGGTGTAGTGAGTGTTAAGGCTCCATGGATTCTGTCTTCTATGTGGTCATGAGTAACTTGAACACCAACATTTCTAAGCCGTGTGATATAAATAAGTCCATCATCTCTTATAATGTCATGTTTACAAGTAAGGATGTAGGGCAGTGGCAAACTCTGTAACTGGGGGCCACTGGCTATCAAAGGGGAGAGCCTGCTATCCAAGAGTGCTGGATAGGAAGCATCTAATTTGCCAAGAACTGGTTCAGTGTAAATTTGGTTCTTTTTATACTCCTCAGGAAGAAAGTCACTCCAGTTAACAAACTTGAACAGGTGTCTTGATCCTTCAGGCATGTGCTTATTTCTCAGTATAGCTTGTTTCAGGGATGTGTCTTCAGTCAAGTATAGGCTTGCCAACTTAATTGCCATCTCCCTTGACAGAATGGGACCATGTTCATAGTCTTGATGAGATAGCATCAAACTGTCAATAAACTGTAGTCCAGGATATATCAAGGCTTGTGCCTTAATTTTATCTTTATGCTCTGGATTATTCTGGGGCTGTAAATACAAAAATAATATTCAATAATTTTTATACTAAGGTAACTATAGCTTTGCCTTAATAACCTTGGAGAAATAAATTCATAAAATGTAACACTAGTGATTGTTCTCCTCACATTTATTCATTGATTTGTTGATGTGAGGATGTGTGTTTCCACCTTCATCAATGAAGAAATGGTGCATGCTACTCTACTCACAGACAGTTATTTACAGTATGATAACCAAACAAAACATGATCAGGGAATCCCAGAGAAAATGAAAGCATAATTATGCTTAAGACTACTTTCTAGAAATTTAACTTTTTGAGTGTTTTGTTTTGGTGTGTATTTCTGTGTGTGTGTGTGTGTGTGTGTGTGTGTGTGTG